GTTTCGAACCCAAGAAATCTTCGATTTTCCTATTCCATAAAAATGAATTCACTTTCACTAATACGTATATTGGTAAATTAACTATATATTAATGAACTCTGCTGGTTAATTTTTTTTATAGTGATAAAGCTTTTATGCCCCAATTACAAGATGAACCGATCCTTTCACAATCGTTTTGTCCGTTCTGTAGTCTTTCCATATCAGTAGTAAAACAAAAAGTATTTGTGAAACACTGATGCCCCCGTTTGGCAGCTTAAGGCCAAGGTTAAAGTTTTTCAGATGCAGGTCAAATTTCAAGGTCAAGGTAACTAGATCAAAATTATTAATGCCCAAAGAAAGGTATTGTGAAATATAATAGCTCTAGTACTAACCATATGGCCAAAGTTAAAATGTTTTTAAAAAATAGGTCATACTCCAAGGTCAATGTCATGAGGATAAAAAAGAATGGTACCAAACATCTAACAGTTTCTGTTCAAAATTTATAAGAAGGTTAATTTTTTTTTTCAACTGAGGTCAAACTCCAAAGTCAACATCATGAGGTCAAAATGTTGCTACCAAAAAAAAAAAGTTTTGTCATAAAAAAACATGTGATATATGAAAGTCCTAGCACCAACCGTTCAAAACTTATGACAAAGGTTAAAGTTTTCAAAATAGGTTAAACAAGGTCGAGAGATGAAAAAATGTTAGTATCAAAAGAAAGGTCTGGAAACACGGAATAAACATAAAAGCCCTAGCTTCAACCGTTCAAAAGTTATGGTAAAGTTTAAAGTTTGGTAATTTTAGGAATTTTAGAACAAACACCAAAGTCAAGCTCAAGAAGTCACATGTGAAATATGAAAGCCTTAGGACCAACCATTCAAAAGATATGGGCAAGGTTAAAGATTTTTGCGGACAAACAGTGAAAGGACGGACAGGCCAAAAACTATATGCCCCGAATCTTTTATAAAGAGGGTTTGAAAGGTTTAGACTTTACATGAACATACACGATGGTTGTTGGAAAAGTTCATGTACACAGTGATTTGAGGGAAACGTATTGCGTACTTTAAAGATGACATATGTTTGATTAAATTACTATGTTTTATTGATAAGTATACAAAAAATACAGGCCCATTTACTAAAAATTTGAAAAATATACAACGATTTTTACTTTGTGATTGTAGGATTCACGGAGCAACCACTTGAATATTCTTGTCATAAGTGAAAACCTGTAAACAAACATGTCTATCTTTTTTCACAGTTCTAAATATCTTCCAGATCAAAATCATTTTCTTAAAAAGTATTCTGATTGTACCCACAATATCTATGTAGTTTTTGGAAATCAGGTTTTCCAACAGTCTGCAGGAATTCCCATGGGTACTAATTGCGCCCCGATATTAGCAGACCTATTTTTGTATTTAAATGAAGCAGAATTTATTCAAAAACCTCTACATGAGAAGAAGAAAACACTTGTTGTGACCTTCAACTTGACATTTCAATATATCGACGACGTATTATCAATTAACAATAGTTACTTCCATTCATATGTCGACTCGATATATCCAAGTGAGCTTAAAATAAAAGATACCACAGATTCTGACACATCTGTTTCATATTTAGATATTTTACTGGAAAAGGACGTTAATGGTAACCTAACAACCAAACTTTATGAAAGTGATGACTTTAACTTTTCAATCGTCAACTTTCTTACTTACGCAGCAATATACCTTCATCACCTGCATACGGGTTTTATATCTCTCAGTTGATTCGATACGCAAGAGCATGCTCTACGTATGAACAATTTCTAAAACGAGGCAAGTATTAACAAACACGTTGATGAAACAAGGATTTCAACAGTCTCATCATTTTGCAAGTTTTTCGGTCGATACTATGACTTTGTCAGCACATACAACCTGTCATTGAGTCAAATGCTGACTGACGTTTTTCATACTGACTGTTAGGCCATTATTTATACACTGAACTTCTACAGATTTTTCCGGTTTTTGTTTCCCGATCATGACAAGGAGCACACGGCGGATGTGACCGGTCGGCAGGGGATGCTCACACCTCCATGGCACCTGATCCCACCTCTAAATTTTGAGGTCCGTGTTTGCTCTGTTCCAAATTTGTATCGTTTCATTGGACTTTCGAGATTGAATACTGTTCGTTATCATCATATTTCATGAAGCATTTATTTTTTATTAAAATTTTATTTAAAAACAACTTATACATGAGGTGAAGAAAACACTTGCTGTGGCCTTCAACTCGACATTAAGATTATCGACGACATTTTATCAAATAAAAATATTACTTCTATTCATATGTTGACTATATATCCCAGTGAAGTTGAAATGAAAGGTACCACAGAGTCTGACAAATCTTCATATTTCGGTATTTTACTAGAAAAAGACGTCAATGATAACCTGACAACAAAACTTTATGATAACGCGATGACTTCAACTTTTCTATCGTTAACTTCCCTCACTTATGTAGCAATATTTCTTTATCACCTGTATATCTCCCAGATGATTCGATATTCAAGAGCATGCTCTGCGTACTAACAATTTAAGAACTGAGATAATATTGAAAAAACAAGTTGATAAAAGGAGTATATCGACAGTCACGTTTAAAGTCATCATTTCGCAGTTCTATAGTCGATACAATGACCTTGTCTGCAAATAGTCTAAAATTAAATCGAGTGCTGACTGACGTTTTTCAAACTAATTTTCAAACTAATTTTTTAGGCCATTATTTAAACTCTGAATTGTCTTCGGATTTTTCCATTTTCCTGATCATGGCAAGGAGCATACAGCGGGCGTGACGGGTCGACAGGGGATATTAACTCTTCTATTGCACCTGATCCCACCTCTGATGTTTTAGAGGTCTTTGTTTGTTCTGCTCCCGATTTGTGTTGTTTCAATGGGCTTTTGAACTCGATTACAGTTCGTTATCTCCATATTTCATTCTAAAACGAGGCAAGCTATTGACAAATAAGTTGATGTTACAAGGAAATCAACAATCTCGTTTAAGGTCAACATTTCTCAAACTCTATGGTCGATACAATGATAGTGTTAGCACATACAATATATCGTTAAGTCGAATGTTGACTGACAAGCTTTTCATGCAAATTGTTAGGAATTTGTTTATTATACTAATTTTTACTACAGAATATTCCGTCTACGTGATCAATACATAAGGTTCATGGAGAGTGTGACCGGTCGATAGGGCATGCTTACTCCTCCTAGGTACCTGGGGTTGCAACTGACCCCACCTCTGGAATTTCCGAAGGTCCGTGTTTTATGCCCTGTTCACAAATTTGTATATATTTTATATCGATCTCTGTTTGTTTTCATCACATTTTTCATTCAAATTTTCAACATGAAGTGATTTGCATGTATGAATGTGAAATTAAACGATAGAAAGGAATGTGTAAATTGAGACTAACTCACTAATTTCATAGAAATAAATAACAAATATTTCAAATAATAACTTTTGCTGATGACCTGCGCTAAATTCATAGGAATTAATAGCAAATATTTCGAAGAATAATATTTGCAGATGGCCTTCAGTGCTTCTTTACCATCTTTCAATACTTCTTATTCATTTAATAATATTTCACTATCACCTGTATATGGTGATTATCCTGATTCCACCTTTGGGATTTCGAGGGGTGGGTTTTTTATGCCCTCTCCACTGATTTGTATTGTTTGAAGGGTTTTCAAAGATCGATCACTGTTCGTTATCTTTACCTTTTTCATTAAATTAATGTACTTTGTCAATTAGTATGATATTTTATTGCTTTGAAGACGCCAGCAAAATCCCTTCCTGCATTTTTTTTCCTATTTTAGTTTGTAAATTTTAAGTCAAGTACCTCATTAAAAGTCATAAACTGTTAATGCCGTCTGACCATTTCCACTTTTCATTTTTCTCTCCTCTGTTTTATCAAATATTTTATAGAATCATAAAAAACTTATAATCTTTTTTTCATTTGCTTAACTTAAAGATAAGATTTATAACGTGTCTTGACTTCTATTTAATGCAATTCTTACAGAAAAAAATCACATATAAATCATGTTTAAAAAAAAACAGCTCAAGTTTAAGAGCCATATTTTTATTTAAAAGCTGATCCCAGCCTAAGAGTATCTATATCATATCATTAAACGACTTGACAGGAATGTGAAAACCTGAAAAAAACATGACTGTTCAGTCCATCTTCATACATTTTAAAATCCGAAGATTTCGTTAGGTAGACATATTAGAATAAAACCCCGAATCAATTAAACCAACACATTGTAAATTCAATTGAATATCTACAGATTTGACAAAGATAAGTAATATTTTACTTATCAAATGAATATCTATAGATTTGACAAAGATAAGTAATATTTATTTTTTTAATCAAAATCAGATTAAATTAGAAACACTTAATTACAGGTATTACTCCTACTTGAGGCAGAGTAAAATATGTTCCAGTTAAATCTAACATTTGATTAAAAAATATACGTTTTTGTTCAAATGAATCGTACTGGTATCAGGAAACTAGGATAACAAACATATAACCATGCATATTCTTCAAACAAACACATTTCATACAAACATACAAGCAAACAGCATTGTTTTAAGGGAGAAAATGATTCTAAAATGTTCGTTTGTCAGTTACCTGATTTACTCAAATTCTCGTTGTAGTAAATTTTTTAATGGCAAAGGGCAAGTTCACTCGAATGCCTTCGTGTCTCTCAACACTTTTAAAAAGATAGGCAATTAAGATGAGAGAAATGGAATAATAAACTGATATTGTCATATTTTAATTAGGGCCAATTTTTGTATCTTTCATCTTTTAGAATAACCATAATTTTGACTAAAAGAAAAAATATCTAACACAAAGTTTGAATGACATGAACTTCTTCCTTTCTTACTCAATTTTTGAAGTTTTAGACAATTCCTTTGTACTGTTACACGTGGAAAAAAAACAAAGGTAATGCGATATTATGCAGTCAATGTAGGCTATTTTCTGTAAATAAGGTTTACGATTTCTGGATCTGAGCGTAAATAGCGCCGTTCGTCTCATCCGAAAGAATTGTCGTGCTGGATGTTTTCAGATCGCTTTCTGTCCCTCTCAATGGAATTCCATTGGCTTTACCATTGCTGTTTTAATGAAAAAGATCATGAGTGTTATTGTACAAAAAAGGTATATATTTAATGAAATTGGAACATTTAAAATGCAGTGATGTTTATAATTCAAATTTCTTGGAATTAGAACTATCAACATTTGTAATAAATATAATAAACAAATATTAGTGTTGCACGCAAATCGAAAAAAAAATATTTACAAATTCATGAATTATTTTTTCCTGGTTTGTTTAAGTATCTGTTAAGAAAGAACTATACATGTATAAATGACGAGTATGACATTTTTATACTTTATTGGCAAAATCCAAATTATAATTATTTCTTGTATTTCTTTTTTCTTAATGAAAAATACAAGGTAAGGTGTATATGTTTAGGTTGACTTTGAGGTAGAATGGATATTTGAAATACTTATAATTACCTATCTTTTTCATTTTCCACACCTATTTTTGAAACTTTGTGAAGTTTTCGTATGTAGTATGCAAGTCCAAATGATATAGCTATGGATGCTATAGCTAAAATCACAAAAAGGACTCCAACAATACTCATAGCATTGGTTTCACAGTTGTACTTTTGTCCTAGATCTACACATTTCTCCAGAGCTCCACATGGATTCGAAAGACAATATAAAATAGGCCATGGTTCGGGAAGTGTTCCATTAACAATAATTGTAATATTTGAAGAATGTGTAGAGTTCAAAGAATTTGTGACAGAACAGGTGTATGTTCCCGAGTCCTCTTTTTGAAGATTTTGCAGAACAAGAAATTTCCCATTCGAATTCTTTTCCTCAGTGGTGTTGGAATAAAAAGATTGAAAGGTCCATTTGTAATCTTCATCAGTTGGTATAGGATTTCCATCTGCTATACAAGTTATGTTCAACCTTGAAGTGGAAACTGGATAAACATTAAACTCAGGAACCCGAATAATGTTAAGAACCAAAGCTTCATCTAAAATATTTAAATTCATCAAGTATAAAATGAAAAAAAAATCAACACAGGCAATTTTGAGTAAGATTAAACGTTTTCAGGTTGATCATTTAATCGTATAGACATGTCCTATTCTGTCTGGTAATAATATTTTGTATAAAAATTCAAACACGAAAATTCAAAAGACCAATGATGATATGACTTGTTTATCACTTCTGATAGTTCAATGTTTTCACAATAAATTATTAACAATATCTAATTCATGTTCTAATAAATTGAATGCCTTAATAAAGTTTATTATCTGGTAGTAAAAAATTATGTGTTTTTAGAGATTTCTAAATATGTTTCTTTTTATTTGATAAAAAAGATCATGATCTCTTTTCAAGATCTTTCATTAAAGGGGCTTCAACTTTTTCTATTTATGACTCATTTTATAAATTAAAAAACATCTAGAAATATTTCAATTAATTTCCTCTAATTTTTTTAGACACAGAGATGAAGCATGATATTGTTTTTGTACGAGCTTATTTTTATCCATTTCAGAAATGAAGATGAAACGTTCAGAAACACCAGATCGTCATTTTCATTATCTTTGGTTAATATCATATATATATATATATATATAATATATATATATATATATATATATATATATATATATATATATATATATATATATATATATATATATATATATATATATATATATATATATATATATATATATATATATATATATATATATATATATATATATATATATAATTTTTAAACGAACACAATCGTTTATTTTGTAAACGCGTTACTTAATTTATTGAATCTACTATATAAACCCACAAAATTACATCCCCACTAACAAGTAAAATTTTGCTTGCTCAAGAACATTGACCCCAGCAAATTAAAGTGATTCCACTGGACATATCTACAGTCACATACTTACACAGTACATTTATTTTTGTGGTATCTCTGTACAGTGATGTGTCTTTAGGACCTTCATCTTTGCTCATATTGTTATGCGAGGTGCACCGAAAGAAAGCGCCATTATCTTCTTTTGTAACCGTGTGTGTTATATTAAGACTAATAACAAATTCACAGTTTCCGGCTTCATTGGGTATTTGAACAGATTCTTTTATAAGAGTAAAATCATTGTTAATGCGGAATCTCCACCATTTCACAATACCAGGTGGTTTTCCTACATCAGCGACACAGGCCAAGCCCAGGTCCTCGTTTTCTTGTAATTCAGTTGTCTGTATCAGTGGAATGTCCAGGGGTCGTTTAGACGACTCTTTAGAATAGCAAATGCATGATAAGACACATAAAAACATCTTTATCATTAGTATGGATTTGTACAAGTGTTTGGGCAAAAAAGTAAAATGTGATGTACATGTATAGATACAAACAATGCTATTTAAAAAATCATTTATCGATATTTCGGGATTTTGAATCCTTACTTTGTAGTGAAATTGATAATCCTTCGGAAACTGGGTCTTGTGGGCCTTCTTGATTGTATCCTATGCTGCATTCGTATGATGGCTCCTCGTCGTCACATACCACGTCATTGATAATAATCACAGCATGTTTGGAATCATCGGTTGGTTTGATGAGCTCCGATCTGTTTTGAAGATACATTCCAGCTGAATAATAAATAGGATCTGGACCCCGTGGTTTTGCAAAACCAACTAAATTGCCACCATCTTTTATTCTCCAAGTGATGGCATGACCATCGTTAATTTTTCCTTCTTTCTCTACGTATGTGCAGTTTAGAATCAGTGTTGCATTTTTATCTTCTATATCGGCAATAGTTTTACTTCCGTCCACACTAACTTGAAATCCAAAGCTTGCTTTGTAAAAAGAAATATATTTATACAATTCCTGGTCATTGACAAAATTAAAGAACTTAATTAATATGTACTATTTTCTTAATTTAGTAGAATCCTTTGGGCAGTGGTTACTGTTTAAACTGATGACCAATAAAAAAAAAATTACATATTCAAAAAAGAATTTGTGGTTCTTTGACTTTAAATGTGAATTTGAGCCTTCAATGAATGTATGAAACATAAAAATATATGTGTAATGGAGGATGATCGCCTTCAAGTGTAGCCTTGTAGTGCATCAAAACTAATGAAATAATACTATTCTGAGCATTCTGAGCAATTTACTTGTAACATTTATTGTATTCTGCAACCTAAAAGATTTTTTAATTATTTCATTTATGCAAATAATGTAGCATTATGGGGCTATTCTATAAGGCGCATTAGAGATTCTGTCAAGCCACTGATGATACTTCATTATAAATCTTAGTGTTAAACTGTTTATTACAAACATGTATCTGGAGAAGTGGTTTTCCAATAATTTTTTGATTTGTTCTGTAAGCAAATATTAATACCGAAATCATATCCCAGAACATTAAAAATGTTTACAAATTCATTAATTGTATGATTTTTCAAGAAGTGTTAAAGTGAATTGAATATTTATCTCGAAAATCATTTTTAGATTTTAAAAAAGTAATAAATAAAAAGAAGTTTCAAACATTCACAATTCAGAGGGTTGCTTTTCAAATGAGACTAACGGGTAGCATATTTCATTTCCATATGGTTTTAAGATTAAAATTAAAATGTGTTAAAATGAAGAAAGCCACTCGAAAAACATCAATAAATCGTCTCTCTCTCTCTCTCTCTCTCTCTCTCTCTCTCTCTCTCTCTCTCTCTCTCTCTCTCTCTCTCTTTATGAAAGAAAAGTAAAAAAAAAAAAGAAAAAGATTACCCTGAATGAGATGGGAAAAACTGAATATAATCAATAGCATATCCATTTAAACATCAAATATTCTTCACCCTGAAATCTTGTCCACCTAATACCTAAACAAATACTCAAGGCTGATTTACACTTTAGGATCCGTCCCTCAAGTCTTATAAATGTAGTAGTTCTCATGAATATTTGATTAGGCTAGTAACATTATCATTCTCACCAATCAGTCAGTCTCTAACATATCTTCCAAAAGTGAACAGCCAATCAAAATGAACACAACTATATTTCCATATATACGCTTACATCACTTTCCGGGTTAACCTTTTTTTTACGATTGTTTTATAAATTTGGATTTATGACTATTATCACTTTAAACTCATTTGACCATCTGAATTTATGGAAACCGTTTTAGGTTGGCATGGTGCAATTCTTGCAGCTTGTTTGACAATAAGTAGATCTGAAGCAATTATTTTTTCGTAATTGTGTTTAAGGTATACAATAAAGATATAGAACTGTAATCAATCTCGTAAATCCAGTAAATAGGATACTAGTTTTCTCTTACATGTAAATTCCGCCTAGGAGATTTTCAACATTTTGACTGAAATATATGGAGATAACGTACTCAAGCTCAAAAGTCCATCAAACAACACAAAATAGGAGCAGAGCGATATAATCTGCACTATAATCTAAAATTAAATGAATAAATAAATGAAATAAAAGTAATAGAAAAGATATAGGTATTGTGTGAATTAATATTTGCTTTAATTATCGATTGAATGTTTTGCATCAGTTTATCAATAGCTTGAGAGAGTCTCTTAACGAGGTTCGTTCCTGAGCTTTTGAGCAGATGATTTTCTTGACCTCTATTTAAAAAAATTCTGCATAAATTTTTAGTTCTTACAATAAATTTGGAATCTACAATGCTAATTAAACTATATTTAATCAAACCTTATGATTAAATTCCATACCGAAAGCAATAAGTGAGGAACTATATTTTGTTGCGGAAGGTTTTTTATAAAGAAGAAAATGATCAATTGTTCTTTTTCGAAATATTTACAGTATTATTAAGTTGAGATTGCTATTTTTACATGCAGCCTGCACACAGAGTTATTTTTGCCGTAAAATGTTTTATCTGGTCCTAAATAATATATTAAATTAACCATTATGTATTTTATCATCATATTGGGAAAATATAACAAATATATTGTGAAAAACCTGGGGAAAAATAGCTCACTTTAGGCTAAAAATTTACACTAGTTATATCTAAAAATTAACATCACAGACCCCTACTTTAAATTTTCTTTTCTGAATATACAAGATAATTTTAACCATTCAGCTTAAATTCAGAGAAATGTCATTATTTTCAAATGGTTTTATTGCTTGTTAAATTTTTAATGCCAGAAAAATGACATTTTATGAGTGCAAAAAGGTCATATAGTTGATTATGTGAAGTAATTACATGTAGCAACTTTTTTTGTTGTCACAAATTTTAGAGAGACTATTCAAGATGAAAAAAGACTGTGTTTGTTTCTATAATTTATTTGAATAAAAAGTATTAGAAGAAAAACTTTGAAAAATTGATTTATGTGTCAGACGTAATTACAGTGCAAAGAGGTCATATTAAATGCTCAAAAGAAGCGTGTTGACCCCCATTTTTGGTTTTGATTTTTAATTAAACTATGTGTATAGATTTCAAAAATATACTTGATAAAAAATTCTCAATACTTTTGATAACAGGATCCAACCTCCTTAAAACTACCCCAGATTGATTGTCTAATTTAAAATTAAAGACGCGAGGTACGTTAGTGCTTTTCTCGTTTACTCTTGTCGCTTAATAAAATAGAACATGCTTTTAAAAGATAATATGTGATCATTTTGTGATATGTATCATAATTCTAAAATATTTATGTTTTTTTTTTGTTGTTGTTAATTTTGTATTGTCGTTGAGAATAAATAAGAAAAATTTATAGTGAAACCAATTTTGTCAACTGGACTCTCACAAACACATTATTAATATAACAATTCAAGATTAAACTATCGCAAAGATTTGAAATGCCCCCCCCCCCCACCCCCATTTAAAATAAAAATTGCCGACATTTTTGAGATCATCTCGTTTTTAAAATTAAGATTGTGTGTGCCTTAGGGATAGTGCTTCTTTGAGGTTTAATGTGACGGTACATATTTGCATCCGTACAATTTGTTGCGATGCAAAGACGAATAATGACCCCCGTAGAAAAGTGACAGGGGGGTCATCGAAAAATGACCCCTAGAAAAAAATGACTTTTTTGTAGAAAAAGAACCCTAGTGTTCAGTTTTTTTTATATGTGCAACCTATAAGAATTTGACCCCCGTTGAAAAATGACCCCAATCCCAACAGAGTGTTACAAAGTTGAAAAGCGATGATTATTGTCAAGGTTTGGGTCTCAACTGGTAATTCTTTTGCGTTGTTTTTCATTATTACTGGAAGAACACGCAAATCAAATTTGATAACAACATTACATGTATTTCTTTTCATTATACGTACTGTGTTCTCAGCTCGCAATTAAAATTGTACAATACGTCAAATTGGCCCTTGGTTCAAGCTGTCATTATGTCGTCCAAAACGTAAGTCAGGACGACATATTGTTATCGCTAGACCTATCATTTTGTCCGAACTTTTTCTCGGACATGACTTGGATAAACTAAACGTTTCAGAAATGACGATCAGCAACTCGAAGTATTCATTAAATATTTTGATTTTAAACCTGACCACCGTTATAATAGGAAAATATGACAACAAATGTTCTCACGGTTGGCTTGTAAAAGCTTTATGAAACTTAACAAACGCGTTTACATTTAAGATTTTTAAGACTGTTTCAAAGGCCATTCTGACAATGAACAAGTTAACTAACGTATACAGGAACAAAAATGCCGTTACGTGATCATTATGTAGGTCTATTGTATGAGGAGCCGTTTTGGTATTTATTGCCGTTTACTGATATCACCTTTTCGAATTGGCGATATTATCTATTCGAAATGATTAAGTGATACCACATATTCTTTTTGAATTGGTGATATCATCAGTTGGATTTTGTGATATCACCTCTTTGCATTTCTTACAACATTAAATAATGAATACTCCTTTCTTCGAGAAATCTAGCCTCAATGCAAAGTAAAGGATGAAATAATAAAAGGCTTTCAAAGAGCAATCTCATTTCCTTAACATTGATTCAAAATTGATGAAATTGATTACATTACTCTTGAACAAACTTTAAAAAAAGAAGTTTTTAAGGACTTTTTGTACTTAATTTGAGCCATAACTCCTATTTTTTCGGCATCGCATTTATCAAATAAACTGTAGATTCACTGTAAGATCATTTTCGGGGCACAGAGAGGGGAGGGAGAACTGTTTTATAAGTTCCAATGTATATGTACACAAAAAATGATTATAAAACAACCTGATTTACATAAGAAAAACTAGATTTTCATTGACCCTTAGCAAATTCGGGCTACCCTTTCTCCTGTTCATAGTCCGAGAAAATTTAAACATCATGTAATCAATCCCTATAAAGTTTTATAATTTTACTTGCAGTCATTTGGTATATTTATTGATATTTTCTCTCTGTTATAATCATCTAGCTGAAAAGAGTCTGAACTTTATTTCCTGTGTAAATGAATGCGTTATTTTCTTGGAAGCAGTTGTTATATCATACATAATCGAATAAGGTACATCACCTATTTGAACCTGTTTGAATTGGCGATAGCCCCTACTAGAATTGGTGATATCACCTATTTGATTTGAATAGGTTATATTACCTATTCGAAAAGGTGATATCAACATTTCAAATCAAATAGGTGATATCACCAAATCGAAAAGGTGATAGCACCCATGAAAAAGATGATAT